CTCACAAGATGCGTACACGTTCAGTGGCTGCATAACAAATGGGGTAGCAGCAGCAAACATCTGGGTACAAGTTATCAGATCTTTACCTTCTGGGGGCGGCGACGAGACTTGGTCTGTTCACCGCATCGTCCTTGCTGACGCCGGTCAAAAGATGGACGGGGGGCAGCCAAACGTCCTGTCTCTCGATTGGTCCATAATCACATCCCTTCTGCTTGCGTTTCCACAGCTGCAACAGTTTCAGATCCTTTGTGCGAGTAATCACACTGGAGACGGCTTTCGCACTCTCTGTGGCAAGGTCATGCAGGCCATGAGCGGCCATCCAGCCGTCACGCTGAAACACGACCCCGAACTCCCTCACGGGAAGTACTTGGAGCCAACGCTGTTTGGCGTTAGCGAAGAAGATGTGAGGAAAGCCCGAAAATCGGTGGTACGGACTCAAGATCTGGTTTGCTTTGCACCACACTGAGAAAGCTATTCATATAGATTGAGCGGAACTCCGTAGCTGGGAACTCTTCGTGAGCCGGAGGGCTAAGACGAGTTGTAGTCCTCCTTCAATGCTCGAGATGGAACGCACACGTGGTCAGAGAGAGAGAGCAGGTAGAAAGGCTGTATAGGTTGAATCGGCGTTCGTCAGACAAGATTCAATCCTGCGCGTGCATCTACTCGCAAAAGAGGCATGGTATAGATTACGCAAGGTTATTTTTTGCTCATCTAATGGTGCAGGACGGTAGAAAACCGTAGAGCGTGGCGAGGATAGTGAAAGTGGACAGATGAGAAGGTATACTCACATTGTTCTCCTCCGGTGCGAGATTTGCCTTTAGCTGGTCGTACTGTTAAGCCATCTCCTCCCTCGCGTGATCATACACGGCGGCGTAAATTTTCGTTGCGCTCAGGCAAGTCAGATTCCTTCGCGTTCGCTTCGTACACGAGATGCTTGACCTGAAGAGACGAGTGGGGCTGAGGGATCGGAGAACGGGAGAGAACGCCTGGTAGATGGGGCGATGTGCGCGTTCCAGCGGGTTCATCGATGCGCTTCCCCCGGTCCTGCACGCCATATTCTCGCACACGCGACGGCGATGCGACTTCACAGGCATGTGATTCGCCGTGATGGCTGGGGGACGCCACGAAGACTATGACGTAGGAGTCGGGCCGCGCGACTCCATATACGGCGTTGCCTGCTCTCACAGACGACGACCTCCGTACCCACAGGGCTCCTATCACTTTCTCTAACCACCATGTCAGGCGAATACGGCACGACATACACACCTCCGCCAGGACCCCCGCCCTCTCAAACTCACGCCGTCCACTACGCCCCACCACCAGGGCTTCCGCCGCCGCAACAGTACCGTCAACCATCGCCGGCCACGCCTCTTCACAAAATTATGCGCCTCCAACAGAGCCTCCTCAAAGCTTTCCACAGTCGCACCAACCTTCACAAACGCACCGCCCGCGAGTGCAGACAGCCCCGTCAGGCGCAGACCCTGCGAGCACAGAGCCTCCGCCGCCATACACCGCCAAAGCGTCCGACCCTCTGCCAAGTTGGGCCCAGGCGTCCGCATCCGTGCGCGACCTCTCCGCGCGGTACCCCATCTTCGCGCCAGACCACGTCCCGCTCGATCCGCCACCGCCGTTCTTCAGCACGCCGTCGCCGCGGCGCATCCGCTCGCGCAGCTTCGCGCCCTGGACCGTGCCCTCGCGCGGCCGCAACATCGCCGACGGCTTCCCGGTGCTCTACAACGACGTGCTCAAGACGCACGGCATCGCCGAGGACGACTGGGCGCGGTTCGTGCGCGACCTCCAGGTCGCGGCCCGTCTCTCACTCTTGGGCCTCAACATGCGCGGCGAGCGCCAGCGCAGGGCGTCGCTCTCCGGGGGCATACTTGGCTCGGTGAGAGGCAGGGCGTATGATGCGGCGTTTGTGAAGAGCCCGCTCGAGCAGGTGGATCAGCTGGTGCAGATATACAATGGGAGCGCATGGGAGCGAAGGAAGGTCCGGGTCACGGTACGCATGCAGTTTGCCGAGAGCGGGAGAGAGAGATACGAGTTGCTCGTGGAAGCATTATAGAACGGCGTGCTTATGTGAAAATGCGAAAAGTGAGTTATGCGTCGCCTGAGGTTTGAATTCCAAGTTCACCACTGCTGCAGTCGCATGGATCGCACTGTGGTGTATTTGTATCGCGCATATATTCGGCATTTGTTATCAATAATCACAATAAAAGCGTAATGTTGCAGCGCGCCGGCGTAGCAAGGCGTCGTATATACATTTGGAAATCAATGCGAATGTCAAGTCTTCTAAGAATGTGTTGAATCGTGCGGAGATCTCTTTTAAGAACACGCAACGACATTTTGCTCAAAATCAAGATAACCCACC